TCCTAAACGTTAATAAAAAAAATCTCCTTGTGGATATTCAACATTGAAATCACTAAACATGGATATAATTAGAGTAAACTGCTATTTAGCATTGATTGAGCGATTTACCTTCACCTCTCCTGGAACGTGTGAAATGCATTTATCAGGGCGACCAATGTTTTAAAGGAGATCTCGGATTAGTTTTTAGTAGTTATAAATAAAGGCGAAAGTTTGTATGTATGTTTGTTACTCTTTCACTTTACAATAACATAGCTTATACATCAGAATAAGACATAGGCCAAATTTATATGCATATTCTATGTATTTATTTATAATTTAGTATTTTCTGTCTTTCTGTCTGAATATTACGCCTTCAGCCTATTCTACGCAGACATAGTCGCGGGCAGCAGCTGTCCCATATAAGATAGAACAATTATTTGGGGTACTAAAAGAATTAAGCGAAGATTTTCATCTTCAAAAGTTTATAAACCTCATCTTATATGCGCTTTTAACCCTAATTCTATTTATATTATGTTAAAGATAATTCGTACGGCATATCTTATTACGAACATGACAGTGTTAGCAAGTGCAATGGTCACGAAAGCTGATAAGCCTAAAATCCCCACCAAAAGCCCCCAATAACTCGGAAATACCGGCATAATAGATGACCAATATCGAAAATTCCCGCCAAAATTCCCATAAATAAAATAAAATGAATTTTGCTGTATTTACTTTTTAAAAAAAACGGCAAAAAGCCTCCAACGAGTCATAGCGCCCACGAAACAGAATTGACAACAATAAATAAGCGACGGAAGGCGGTTACAAAGCGACCGGTTTGAATTAACTCGGCTCATCGGTTCAAATCGGCCGTGAAAACAGTAATCGTCGTTATTAAATGTTTAATGGAGCGTTCGCGTCAATATTTTGGCCCCTGAATTTTAACTGTTGGACCAGGCGGTTGGCTGATGCGATCGCGACTCGGGTATCTAAAGTACAGTGTAACACCCGATTTCTGAAAACCTGATCATCGTAGAAGTCAACTAACTAGTTAAACGGATTTTCAAATGTTATTGCGTTACCAAAAGGATTGTTAAACTCTTGGAATTGATCATTATGATCATTAAGAAGATCATTCTGATCAATTAACATTTGAAAATCTATTTGATAGCTGATTAGTTGACTTCTTCGATGATCATTGTTCCAGAAACCGGGCGTCAGAGACGTGTACTATGGAGATTTCAGTTTATTTTGATAGTTAAATGTTACTCGATGTTATTATTCAAATTTCTACCATCTGCTAGTTTTACTTATATGAAACAAATTATGACGAAAACGGGTCAAAACATGGTATGTACTTCCAGAAATTAAATTTATCGTACATTTATTGCTTTCCGCATTTTGATGTAGAATTTATTCAAATAAACCCTATTGGATACTAATGTTGAAATGTTATTAAATTTTAATTGAAATTATTTCATTAAGGACTGATTCGATCATATTTTATCATATATTGTGTAAGAATATTTCATCTTCGATTACTTTGAATCACATTAATATTTAATTATTAATTCAATTATGTCTTAACACTTTAAACAAATTATCGCTTTATTTAATAACTAGCGACCCGCTCCGGCTTCGCAAGGGTTTAATGTATTATCTTATCCTTTAAACGAACAATTCTTGTAATATATATATATAATCGGAATCTCGGAAACGGCTCCAGCGATTTTCATGAAATTTAGTATGTGCATAGATTAGGGAGCGAAAAATCGATCTTGCTAGGTTTCATTTTTAGAAAATGTCCTTTTATCCCTGTTTTCAGGGAATGAAAAATATAATTCGAATATGACGGTAAATTTCGCCGCAAGAGAAAATGTCATAATAGCTCGGTCGGTAATCGGGCGGCCCCAAAACAGACGGCCGTGGTTCGCGTCACGATCGTTTACACATTTGTTTTTTTACTTTTTTTTCGATTCCAGATCATTGCTTTGTTTATTTTTATTTTTTTGGTCGATTTGTTATTTTGTTATTTGTTTCCCTTTTTTTTAAGTTCTTTCTTTTGTGAAAAACATCAGTTCATATTTTCTTATTATTACGTAGGTAAGATCGAAAAATATTATGCATATTTTATTACTCAGTAATTTGTATCTAAATGTAATTTCCAAAATACACGATTTACCAAAAAGAAAAAACAAACCGAGCAAAGCTCGGTCCTCCGGGTACTATATATAAACCTTCCCTTTGAATCACTCTAGTAAAAAAAACCGCATCAAAATCCGTTGCGTAGTTTTAAAGATTTAAGCATACACAGGGACAGACAGACAGCGGGATCACTTTGTTTTATACTATGTAGTGATAACATGTGATACATATTAAGATTATTTGATATTTTATAATAATATTTTTCTACTGTTTTTATGTTAAAACACATAGTAATTTGCAACTTTAATTTTTAAAGGAGGTTTGTCGCGTTCAGAAACAAGTACGTACTAATTAATATTTTCTATGGAACTTTAATATATTACGTATAAGCTCAGACAGTTCGTGCTTACACAAAGTGAAATTAAATGACTGTACGTTCGCAAGTGAAGGAAACTGTTGAGTTACCTGACAAATAGGAAATTGTAAGCGATAGAAATGGAATAGGATGTTATCGACGCTGATTACCCCATATTACTATTACGTGTACGCGCTGTTGGTGACAACTGACTCGGTGATAACTGAGTTCGATTCCTTAGCGGTAAAATTACTTGTCTCTGATAAAATAGACCGATTCTATTTTTTTTAACATTGCAAAATCATTACCAGCAATGATTTTCAAACTCCCTTTGATTTGTACCACCTACTATTGGGAGAACTGCTTGTTTTGCCAAAATCTCCCATAAATTCTTCTCTTTTTTAAGAAAAATCTATCAATGAGTTAAATTACAAGTACGAGTTAGATACGCAATTCGTTAATTTGTTTTAACCAGGTTATGTTTCGCCTGTTAACGAAGTTCGTTGCTGTAGTATAATTGCACTGGTAGGCAATTACCGATATTAAAATACTTTTTTTAAATTTCGTTCTCTTTTCAAATTTCAAAATTCCAATGGATAATCAGGTCATAATTGAACGGTTGTCCATTTTCATAAATATTTCTAATTCTCTCATAACGGATATTGTGTTACGTTAGAAATTCAAAAAGGTTGGAAGGGTTGTAATTATTTAATAAGCAGAACTGTGCAATAATATGATGATTCTTGACCAATGATTTCTGAAGACTAGTCAAATAACATGAGGTATACCGCTGAATACTTCTAGGAACTTCATTTAACCCGACGGTTAAATGAACCTAGTAGAAGTATTCAATGGCATATCTCATGTTATTTGACAAATCTATATTATAGCTACTTCTAGGAGCTTCATTTAACCCGACCTATCAATAGTTTTGAATGCGAAATATTGAATAAATGTTCGCTTGCCTTCAGATTTGCAAGCATTGATAGACGAATCGTGACCGTTTGTCAGTTTCGGTGGGAAAACAGCTGTAATAGTCTTCTGGTTGGATACAGAAGATGATGCCATCAACGAATCCTTATTAGGATCTAAACGAAACAAGTATAATTTGAATGTGGTTTTTTAAAATTGGCCCAGATTTTTTACGGGATACCACGTGATCGGTAGAAAAACAGTCAGGTGTAAGCTTTTCCCTCAGTCATATTATCGACATTTCCAAAAGCCTTATTTCCCCAAGGTTCTTTTATTATTTATTATTTTACACATGTTTTTGAACAATCGGTAAGTTTATAAGGAAAGCAATTAAATCTGATTTTAAATGTAAAAAGACTAATAAAATTTACAGTATTGAAACATTTTTAAAGTTGATTAGTTTTACAAACTTATAGCTATTTGAAAGTTTTATTCTATTATTACCTACATTTTTATTTTAAGGTTTGAATTAACTATGCGTAAGATATGGACGGGTAGAAAAAATCAATATTGAAATGATTTTTCAATTAATAAAAGATATCTCAATCAAGGATATACCAAATTTTATAACATTACAATTAAAATATACTTAAATCATAAAGCTTCTTAATTTGTTCAAAACATTTTTATCTCTTCTGTAAGTAATAAGTAGTAATGATTAATTATAGTAATAATTTCTAGTTTAAAAAATGCCTTTAGAAACGATATGACTGTTTTAATTTCGGAAAAGAAAATCAGAAATCAACACAGATAAGTTATGAAAAGTATTGTTTTTGTATCCAAGCTAATTAATTGTCCTTTTAACAGACAGAAAAGGAAAATAACTTCATTAAAGTTAAACTTGCACAATTAGACAAGATAACTTGGACGAAATAACCAAACAAAAGACTTTTTTGCGACCACAAGAACGTTGATTAGATAATAGTTACACGGCCGATGGAGAGTACCTAATTTTCCTTTGAAGTTGTTATTTTGTAAATAAGCCTGGCCATAAATACTTTTCTAGAAAAAGAAATAAAAACTTTATAAGGCGGCAAAATCGCAGCGGTTCTAAAGTAATGACCGAAAACGTTATTCCCAATTGTCGTTTCAATTACGCCGCTGCCGGTACAAATTTATTTCGCGTTTTCGTTGCAATTAAGACTTGGGCCGTTCGGAAATGCATTCGCGGATTCCATTGCCGTATAAGGTGGAATAAGTTTTGTTTTTATTTCGGCTACGAGGTTCAATCTCGTAAAACAATGAAACGGGTTTCGGCGGTTCTTGAGCTATTAAGACGAGAAACTTTTAAGAGAGACAAATTGTTACATGCGGTCCAACAACGATCAACTGTTAACGCGAGTATGCAACGTTAATTGATAGTACGAGTTAATTTTAAATAAAATATAAACTACCCATAAGCGGCTGTTCGCCAACTTGTTCGCCAAGCTAGTTATAAATCAAATATCCAATAGTGTATCAATAATTACCTTCACAGAACAAAACTAACGTAGGCACTGCACAAGCACATCACTAGAGAAAAACTTAATACGAGGAGAAAAAAATAGGGCTATCGTGCGAGGGGGACGCACTTATCGCCGCCGCGTGTCATTAGGCGCACTGATAAGCTTATCGCCGCGGTAAGTTGCCGAAAAACGTCACTGGCACTCATAGCAAAAAGGGCGGGCGGGAGAAAAAATCGCGCGGTTTTTGCGCCGTCGGCGTTTTTCGACCGGCGCGTGGGCCCCGGCGTGCACAAACCGACGAACGCGCGCGACGTCTTTGCGACGACTAAAAACTCACCGCTGAAAGGTCGTAGGCGTTGCGGGTCCGTGAGGGAGGGAGATACGGCGGCCGGCGGGTGCGAGGGAGACGGCCGCTGGCGCGATAGGCGTGCACTTGTGGGCGAGGCTTGGCCAGCGCGACAACCTCGCATCGTGCCGCGTATATATCCGACGCGATGAGTATATTGTGCGATCCTGCCGGTTTTTGCTGGCGGGTGCATTGTCTCCGATGCGTTTCGCCCCCCTCCCCCGCCGCCCCCGAAGATCTATAGGCGCTGTGCGTTGTTAAATTCGCCTCACTATCTCGTATCTTTGCGGTTTAAGGGCGATTTCAGAGATACCGGTCGCGGGCTTTTTGTCTGCTTTGGCTCGCGCATTACACCCGCTGACTCCATGCGCCATACGTTATCGGATCAGAGAATCGTACTCCTTGAGTTGCGCAATTTTTAGTTAAGCGATCCGAACCGTGGTGATACCTGTATTGTATTGTTCTTCGAGTCTACGTTTTGCTTTCGCGACCCACCCTAGGGCCATTATAGTGGTCCATTGTGACGTTCGTGCGGAAAGCTCGTAGTCGGGGAAACTTAAGGCATTTGTAAAAGATGCTTCGAAACATGGATGCTAATAGTGTTTTGGAATAAAATCTTCAGTAGTATAATTTTCAAAGTAGTACTAGTTACTTTTTTTTATTTAAAACATAATTTAAGTAACGAATAAACAGTTTTGACCTTTAAGGCGCTTTCGAATAGCTAGCTTTAGTATAAATTTTAGTCAAGAATTGAATGAATTTATGCAAAAAAATTGTTTTAACATCTGATCTCTTAAAATATACTTCATCATAGAAATCGCAGTCAAACAGCAGGTCTTCGATCTACCTATATCTATATCTATATCTTCTTGAGCACACAAATCATCTGAAGTTCCTCAAGGTACCTTCATAGGGCCGCTACTGTTTGTTATACTTATAAACCAAAGAAGTGTTTCTCAAGATCTAAGATTTATATGTTTATGATATGAAAAGTTTAAAAATTGTTTGTAAAAGAGTTTAAATTCGTATTGTTCTATTAATTTGAAACAAATATAAGAGATGCAAAAATGACGCTATTGAACCCCATTATTTCTTGACCTAAACTGCAAAAAGTGCATATGATATGTTCTTTTTAAAATTTTAGCTGCCCTACGATAACTTAAACAATTTAGCTGCATTACTCTATGGTTTGGCTTGTATTACTTCAATACTCGAAAAAGGTGCGCATATAGTAAAAGAGATTTTTGATACAGTTCAAATTGTTCACAATGATTACCCATTGTGAACAATGGCTCTGATTTGAGCATAAAATCATTCTCTCAATTTTGTTACATAATTTAGGTGTATTAAATATGTAATTAAACAAATGTGACAATTTTTGAAGTTATTTATTAGATAATATATACCAGTTTCAATTGTTGCTTAGCTTCTTTCTATTTTTTTAGCAAGGTATTGTGGTGTACAACCATTACCCATGGTGAATATAGCACAGACTCCAAAAAATGTTAAATTTTGTTAGAGGTTAGGTAGGTTAAGTTATATAGGTTAGATTTTCAAGATTTAATTACATTAGATTTATTATAAACTTTCTTTAGATTTATTATAAACTAGTGCTTATATAATGTTTTGAAGTCGGTTATATTTATGATAAAAAATTTTTAGTGATTTTATTTTAATACTTAGGTATTATAAATTATGGGTAAACCTGGCAAAGATGCTTCTCGCATGAGAAAACGGCGTCAAACTGAAAACGGGACAGAAAAAGGAAAACGATTATTTTTATTTTATACGAAAAGATGCCAAGCGAGCAGGCGGCTCATCTGATGTTAAGTGAATACTACCGCCCATAGACATCTGCTACACCCGAGGGTTGCAGATGTGTTGACAACCTTTTGGAAATTGGGCTCTGGCCACCTCACTCATCAGACGAAACGTGAAAGTATTATATTTCCACTTCACGCCGGTCTGTGAGATCGTGGTACTTACCAGGACGAGCCTGCCCATTCGTGCAACAGCCGAGGCTGTTGCTAGGCCCTACCACAGTTACCTGACCTGCGCGACAATATATTTTTAAAAAAAGATCCCATATGTTACTCAGGTTAAATGACGAAAATCAAGAAAATTACAATAATCGTGTTAGCTAAATTCGCACTCATTTGGCTGTAAGTTTATTTTCAGAGATTACCAATCGCGTTGGCAACTTGACAACGGTTCAACTTGAATTACTTTGCGAACTTCAAGGAATATAATAAGTATAGGAGATTTTGCCGATAGAGTTGCAGTTCCAATTTATTCCACTGTCAGACAAGTAAACGCTTACAATGCACACATAATAGCCGAGAAAGCGAACAGCGTATTACTTGAGTAAATACGCTGTTTCCACATTCTCAACTGTACTGAACACATCTGCTTAACTTTTTCAGTGTACGAACGTGATTGCGCAAGACAATGCATATTTATGCGATAGCAGCAATCGCGGTGGATTTTCTGTAATTTTTGAAGAGTTCCGTTGTCTATCTCCGAAACTCATCAGGTGAGATCTATATGAAATTTAAATGGGTCCATTTCGGAATGAGACCCTTTCGTATAAAAATTTTGCAAATATCATCGTATATAGAGGGAGTTATTCTCGAGCATACATAAAAAAAACATATAAACATCCGAATTAATATCTTGATCCGTTTTGTAGTCGGTTAAAATACGCATCGAATTGACAACCTGCTTCTTCTTTTCTTAAAGACGGTTAAATCACCCAACTCCTAACCGTTAAAGAGTTGCCTCGGACCTTCATAAATCATTTCATGACGCCGACCTTCCTTCATCAGCTCGGCGTCATGAAATGATTATGATGACCATACGCAAATGTCTTAATAGCATTGTAATACCCACGATTTCTCTAGGATGCTATCATCAGATCCGGGTTTCTTTATCATCTATATCTAAGACTACATCTACTAGGTGAGATACTAGTCAAGCAATGGCCTGGTTTTGGGTTTAAAAGAACACTTCGGGCGTTTGGGCTTGGGAACCAATGCGAACTGCATGGAAAATAAGCCCAAATACTTTCGAACGGTAGGAACACAGGAGTGAGGTAAGAATTAATTATCGTTCTCCTTGTTTCTTCTGACAACGGCTTTAGTTACGTCGCTAATAGTTAATGCTCTGTTATTAAAGTGAAAAATTCCGAAAGAGTGACGGAATCAATAAATTTTGGCTTATTTCAACGTGTTATAATGTAATTAGCTATCATGGGCTCATCAATTTTATAATTGCTCAGTGACGCATATGTTTTAAACAAAAAGATACCATACATGCATAGTTACAATATTTTTATTGACTTTTGACGAAGTTGTAAGTGCAAATCGCATCTATAACTTGGTGTGCATGACACCTTAACTATATACTATGTCGAATCTCGATTTTGTTTTTCCTTACGCCTTCGCTTTCAACTATGTATTGTAAACATAAAACTTCTGATTACTCAATGCTGTATAGCCGTGATAACACATCGTTAACAAACCAATGTCGAAACTGAACAGATTTAGTAACCTTATTCCTACCACCTCACCCGTGGCTCCATTTATCAGCAGATGGTACATATATACGTGTGTTCCACATGTCTCATAATAACAACATATTTTCAGCTCTTGATATTTTGATAAATCTTCCCACATTGTCTCATTGTGTATCCATTTTCACGCCAATTTAAAAAGGGAAAAAATATATATATGAAAAACAAGTCAATTTTGTAATCCGGTGAATCTCATGGGTATAAATAATCTTTTTTTTTCTTTTCGTACAATTTAGCCAGTGCAGGATTGCTACTCCTAATGGTAGGTTGCAGTGCACCTATAGCTGGTAATCACAAGCTCAGTAGTAAAATAAAGAAACAGCCTATAAATGTCCCACTGCTGTGCAATCTCTCTGCTCACGATGTTACTATCCCTTCACTGCTAACCACGTCATAAGTCAGCACTTGAAATTAATAATTTTATTGGTGCCCGAACCGGGAATCGAACTCAGGTTGCACGAGTATATTGAATTAAAAGCGAGCTCCTGGACAATGAGCTATCACGATTCGATAAAAGCCTATTTGATCTCGTCTTGAAGAAGACTACTATAATTATATTCTATTTCACTCGTCTTCTTTGTGGCTATGATCTATTCTGGTTGTAATTACCCGATCAAGACGCCGCTACGTGGCGCTACTATAGTAAATTATATGGGGACGTGTATTTGTATATAAAATAACTAAAGTTACGTAAGAACGATGATCACTATCTCGTGTATCGTTTGTTAGTTTTGTGTCTACAAACAAACCACGAGCTAATCACGTCAGTACAAATAATTTAAGTTTAATTTTCATCAGTAATAACTGGAGTGACCACGTATAACGGTTTTTCAATGTTAACGTATAACTGTTTTTAATTTAAATAATTAAATTATTTAAATTAAAAACAGGTAAATCTACATACAAAAAGATCAGCATACATTGTAGATTGGCTCGGGAAGTGTTTCTAGATTATATATGAGCGCCTTCGCGTGAGGAGGATAGTTTCGTGGTGCCTCACCGAAGCTCGGTAGCAGGCCCGTGTGGAGTGGTGCCGTGACATGATGAGTAAATTTGATGTAGGCCCGTTTGGGCGGGTTTACGACAGTGTGACCGACAACGAATCCTGGATTTATCAATACACTCCAGAAACAAAGTGTCAGTCTACACTTTGGCTGTTTCAAAACGTACCAACGCCTACGAAAGTGAAGCGATCGAGAAGGGTACGTTTTGATCGCTAGTTACTTCACTTTGACTGGGTATCCGTTATCAATTCAATTTTGAGCTCAAAGCGGCATCAATGCCGTATGATATGCTTCGAAATGTTTGTCAGAAGTTTTTACTGCTATGAGCATCAAGCACCCGGGCTCCGCGGGTTACTGCTTCCCATGACAACGCGCCCGCACTCAGCACTCAAAACCAGGGACTTCCTGGACACCGCACCGATCAAACTCTTACAGTCCTAATCTGGCTTCGAGTGACTTCTTTTTAATCTTTTAAATAAAAAATCAACTGGAATACAGGTTTCATCGCCGGCAGACGCGCTAACAGCGTTTGCGAAGACTGTAGGAAGAGGTGTCAGCGGCGAACTGGAAAAATTGCTTCGAAAATTGATTCAGACTTTGTATAGAGGATGGTGGAGA